GCTCCATGTCCTGGCCAGTTCTAGGCCCAAAATAAACTTGCAGTTCTTAGCATAAATTTTCATATAGGAAATGAAATTAGATGAAGTTTTTGTGACTATTTAAAGATTATTAAACTAAAAGACACATGAAAATTTCAGTTGCTATATACCTTCCTTTATCTGCTTCTCATCTTTTGTATGTTGTCCAAGCAGAAGAGCTGCAAAGGCTTGACCATAACGGTCTTTTAGTTCACAATAAATATCTTTTGCTGCTTTTAAATTTTCTTTTATTTTTTGCTGGAAATAAGATATCAATTATTAAAAAATAAATTGAGCACATTACATTTGAGAGTTTTTAACAAATATCACAATATTTATTACAATTGAGGGTTTGTAGATTGTTGCAAACAATATTGGGTAATCTTACAGTTTAGCCTAATAAATTATTATCTATTTATTTTCATTTTTGATAATTATTTTACCGAAGCCAATATGCATAAATAGAATTGGATGCAAACTAATAGCTCACATGTACCCAATATGCAGGGGAGCGCATAAGAGCCTAAGAAGAGGCAAAGAAAATTTTGACACTAGCTCTCAACAGAAACTCAGTTACATGATTATCTAATTAACCTTCAATACAGATGAAGCATTTGGCACCATCCCTATCGGGAGCATGTGCCCCTGCCCTCCATTTGATTTTAGTGTCAAGCTGGGTTTTTTTTGTGTGTGCTTTGAAGTATTCATGTCAGGTTGTTCTTTTCCCATCAATAAAAACTGGGTCTCTTATTAAAAGTTAGCATATGTCCAATGTTTAGCATATATCCAAAGTGTGGTACATTACCAACTTTTTGCATGTAGGGGAGTTATGCACATGGGACAAAATGTAAATATATTTTTTTTACTATTTAAAAGAAATTGAATTCATTTTTCAAATTTTCAAAATCTCACAGCATTATTAGATCCCATAGCCATGGAAATGTGGATTGCTGCCCTTAGTGGTTTAAAGAATCCTTCCTTGGCATACATCAGAGCCGTGTCCAGCTGTCCACTTTTCATCATGAGATGGACAGCCTCCTTTCTTTCCTCTTCATTTCCTGAGAAAATAAAAAAATGCTCTGAAATCTTACCTTTAGTAACAAACCCACTTATAACTGCACAAAGTAATAGTATCTTCTTATGCAATGATTTGCTGTCAATCAGGCAAACAACCAATTTGGTACTTCTCAGTTAAAGAAAAAAAACATCATGTATTTGTACATTTCACTTTTGTTTATTATTTTAACATCTTTAACAAATGATTCGATAGAGTAGTCAAACTTTAACAGCTGGTTTACATGAACAAGACCAACGACCCCAACCACCCCCCAAATCATACAACTTTAGTAAAGTAATCATTTAGTTTCATATAAATTAAAAATAGCCTCAAACATCTTATGTAACAGTTAGTAGCAATACCATTATACATAAGATATAACAGTAACATAACATCATACATCCTACATATTAGATAATATATCAGTAAAAAAAGCATCAAGCATTGTACAAAACTGTAACAGTAGGCCTACCTTCATCATGCAATAGTTCAGCTGCTTCTTTCCAGAATTTCAACTTTTTCAAGAGAATAATCTTTTTCTGTTTATCTGTCACCTCAGCAACTGTTTTATAGAAGTCTTCCATTTTACCCTGGCTGTATTGATGCTCAGCCAAACTGGAGAATTTTGGTTAAATTATAGACCCATAGACAGCGACGAGGCCATGACAGGCAATTCAGGCTCATACCAGCAAGAAGCCAGTATAGGAGCTGCTCATTCCTGCCCAAGACAATCAGGGACTGGAACCATCTTTCAAAAGGAACGGTTGAGGCGACAACACTAGACACATTTGTGTCTATTGCCTCAAGCCTTCAAACCCCTAGTGCATGATTTCCTCATCAACACCAGTAACAGAAACATTGCAAATCCCATCTACAAACCCCTAGTGCATGATTTCCTCATCAACACCAGTAACAGAAACATTGCAAATCCCATCTACATGCATAGGAGCCAAAATGATCAATAAATTGATCGTGGGCCCTTAAGATATAGAAGAAGAAGAAGAAGAGTAATTTTATTTTAAAAAATTATTCTTTAAAAAGGACTTTAAAATAATTCAGACAAACTTCTCTACAAAAGCTTGAGTAATTTTGAAACCATAAAACATGATTTAAAGAAATAAATATATAATGGAAGGCTACAAATCTAAGCAATTTGAAAATAAAGGAATTTATAACTATTAAAAAGTAAGATATATGAAGGAAACATATTTGTCATTGAATCTTATGTTATCATCAACTGTGGCCAAGCACATTCCTACATTTCTCTATAGTAATTTTTATTCTGGACGATTTCCTTTGCCTGAATTAATTACTCATAAGAAAATAGTAGAACAAGATATGTATAAGCTTGAAATGAAAAAAAAAACAACAAGAAAATCAAATGAAAGTCTTGAGGTACGAGTCTACATTACATATAATTACTTATAGTTATGTGATTCTATGTGAGTGAGTTCAGTTTGACAGTTTTTTTTATAAGCACCTATGAATTTATTCCTTTTATTTATCTAAAAATTCAAGTTTTCATATTGTCTCTGGTCTTTTTAAACTTTGTACAAATAAAACTTCCTATTGGTGATAATGGATTTAAAGTCTTTTGCTGTGGAGCAACGCACAGCGTGTTCATCCGCCGTTCTCAATAGCACGTCGTTCTGCATCGTTTCAATAGCATCTTTGTTTCTTTGCCATTTCTCTGTAAAACTTTTCAAGAGCTATTTTTAGATAAGACTTTTACATAGAATAGTGCTCCTTCATTGTTTATAAGTGAAACCAAGTTTTATTTGTTGTCATATGAAGCATTATTTTAATGATTTTGTTCATTATTTTTTTCTACTGTTGCTATAGCTACCCTAGGCCCTAGTAGGTGAGTAAGTTTCCTAGATGATTAACAGCTCAAAAAGCTTTGGAATTGTTTTATATTATTTCTTTTGATCATGAAGATGATTTTTATTTAGATCCATCCCATGATTCCGATAGTAGTGGTATAGAGGATTTGAGTTATAGATGTGAAGATGAGGCATGCGTACATCATAGGGTTTGGGGGAAAATGGTTTAGAAAAAATATGTTCACATTTTATGGTTCTTTTCTGTAACTTATTTGATTTAAACTGAAGAAATAAGTTCACAAACATATATCCTTTCAAATTATATTTCATTTGATACCAAGTTTAGTCTTATGAACCATATAATAATACTTTAATATTTTTTTAATAAAACCAACCTCTTACTCTTTTTTGCTCTCCGAAAAATAATGTACATTTTCTCAATAAAAAAATTCCTCAGCGAAAGAATTAAAATAATATTTTTTTTTAATAGGGTATTCAAATCTCTCTCACCTGACCCTCAATTTATCCTCAATATCTTCATCGGGTCGGTTCTTCAAAAGACTCTCAGGAACAGCTTTGCCATTCGCTTCAAAACTCTTTAAAAAAAAAATAAAAGCAAGGAAATCACACAGATATGTTCATAAATATTCTTTTTTTTTTAAATTCTGGATTTATGCCAGCAATGCAAACTGTTAAGCTCACAACCAGTTTGCATTGTGTCAGTTTTATTCAACATAATGGCCCATGACTTCAGCATGTAATTCTTGCCTTTGTCAGAACCCAATGGAGTTTTTTCTCTCTCCCCAAGAAAAGTTTACTTAAAGGCCTTAGAGGTCCTGTCACATTTTGCTGAGGGACAACCCTGGATGAATTTTAACCCAATACATCTGGCTTTAGGGGCAGACAATGCTTTCATCCCAAAACTTTTTTTTTACGAGATTTGTTCAAGAGTTGTGCATATATAAACTTAACATTAAACACTGAAATTGTAACATTTTGCTTATACCTTGATGAGGTTCTGATATCTGTGAAAACAATCCAACGCTTCAGAAAACTGTTTGCTGTCCACCCTCAGTTGTATGGCTTGTTTGTATTGGCCAATCTTTTCAAGGCAGCTCATTGCACTGTCAAGTTTATTGATCAGCTTGTAGAGATAAGAAGCTTTTTCAAGCTGAAAAAGACATGTTAACAATTAAAAAAATAATAGCTCTTTAAGATATATTTATCTATTTTATAATATACGTGTGGTGATTAAACATGGCCGACTTAAAGCGGTCTTGTGCATCTTAAACAAAATGGCATATCTAAAATAATTAAGAATAGTACAGTCATGTCTTTCTTTCTTTCTGTCCATCCAGAACGCTCAGTGCAAGAGGGAAAAACCAACTTTCTTGCACCACAAACCCATACATTAAGTAAATGAAACTAAACAGTGCCAGAAGAAATATCAAATTATTTTTGTAATTTGAACATGTGCAAACATTAAGAAAACAAAAGTCAACATTTCTTTGTTATAAATGTAAGTGTCAGTGAAACAAATGTTAAAGGCTGGTAAGATCAACAATCTTTTAGATGGATTTTTGATTGCAAATAGAAAATGTGCTTTCCAGAACGTTACCAAAGAACAGACTAGTGAAAATATCTAAATAAATTTGTGAGTTTGTGAAGTTTTGTTGAATTATCACATATAAAAAGAAACGTTGAAATTTTGATTTACAGAGCATTACAAACATTCAGAAAGTGATTCAGATCGACAGTTATTATCAGGATGGGGGAGGGAGGGTGTAGGGGAGCATTAAGCGAGGGTGCTGAAGGCTCTGAACAAAAGTAGAAGAGTGGTCTGGGCAGGGGGAAGCCCTCTTTATTTCTATGCTTCCATGATATTCCATGGATTATTTCTAGTTATCATGTTTATGAGGAACTCTTCAGTTATTGATTTTCAAAAGAAAACAAAATTATTTTTTTTTTTACCTGTCCTAATTTTTTCAAAGTGATTGCAGCCAATTTATATTCCTGTGCATGTTTCAAGCATCCAACAGCATGCTCCATGGCCTTACAGTACAAAAACTGGGCTGCAGCCTTTATATATTTGTTTTTCTTTGCTGAAGTGTTGGCCTCTCTGGCAGCTTCCTCTGAGGTAATGAAAGCTTTGGCCAGTTTTTCTAGGCGTGTTTGGTTGGCTTTTCTGAGAAAATTTGATTTTCGAATTTATAACATATTTTAGCTATAAACAATATTTAATTAACTCAGCTGTATGTTTTATGTATAATTAATGTGAAAATAATAAAGACAGTGTTATTTTAAGTTTAAATTTTTATCAACAGCTTTACTTGTAACATGTGGCAGCCACTTCATATTTTTTCTGTTTCATGTGTTTGTCTCCTGCCTTTTTCCATTGCATTGGGGTAGAGGCTTCCATGAAACCTTTGCCTAGAAAAAAAACATACATTTTGTAGTATTGTACTTTTATAAGAAATTGCCATTTAGTAGATACTATATTGTTAAGCTCCAAATATTGGATCTTATGGTGTGTTAATATTTATGGATTCTGAAAGCTACAAAACACTGATATCTGGCATACCACAGTAAAATGCATGTAAAGCCCTGCATACCCTCCACTTCATTCTGCTACTCTGCAGAACTCATAACCTACATCAATGTCTGACTGTTGGATCGATACCCTAAAAAAATTATATATTGATTTTTGGATTTAAATATTTTTTGCTGTGTTTCTAAATTTTTTAAAATTTTAATTTATGCTTTTTTTTAATACCCTTGTTTTATTTGATTCTCCCTCAGCCTTAGGTACAGCTTTAAATCCCAATTCATCACTGATACTACACACAAAAAGTTGCAATTACAAGCTAGAATCCTTTGCTGTCGTCACACAAGGGAGGAAGGTTGGAGCAAACCACACAACAGCATCAGGCTTCCTTGTGGCTTTTAATGGAAACATATTTATATTTTCCCCGAGAAGGTTGACAGCATATAAATATGTCATTTTTTTCTATACCCAATTAATCAGTATGAATGGATGACTTAACTTGTCTTGATGTTGAGCAATGGCAGTTATTGGTTGTTTGTACTTCGGAAATCAACATAGATGTGTACAATACATTCAACCTAATCTCATAACTGTTCAAATCTTGGAAGCAAGTCTTTTTTTAAAGGAAAAGGAAGAAAAAAATTACCTTCATTATCATGGTCTGTGTCTCCTCCACCTAAAATTTTCACAAGGTCGAGTGCCTTGAAATATTCAAACATTGGGGCTCGTTTCTCTGTATCTTCATCAAAAATCCACACGTTGACCCGGGCACGCGTCACTGCTGTGTACAGTTGTTTAAGGTCAGTGTCCAGCAGCTTGTGAAGGTGCTTTTCAAAAGTCAGAGCTCTTGGTCGACCTGGCTGTTGCAGCACATCTAAAGAGTAGAGTTGAGCCCATAGCTTAAAAATCAAAACTATTGGCTCAGGCTGGTATTTATTGTCTTTCTTTGGTACCCAACAGATTGTCTTTACAATTGAAAAGATCAAGAATATATTATCCTTTTTGTTGAAAATATCAAATTGCTAAGTTACTTCACATCACCAAACATCAAGTCATCAAGGTTAGTTCAATGTTTTACTTGTTTTAGAACAACATGGAACACATCAAGACAGCATAAAAACGTGACCTCATTACACAACAAACAATGTGGGTGCAAAACAATGCTAATCAACATTTAGTATTTTGTCATTTTGCAACACTTTTAAGGAGATCCTGTTGTCCTCGACTGTCGGAGACATTGGCTTTTAAATTGAAATTAAACTTAGTATGATTCCCCATATCAGTTCTGTTGTCAATGCATGCAGTTCTACGAGATCTCCATTGGGTTCCTGTGAGTGAGCGCATTAACTACAAAATTCTGTCCCTGGCGTACAGCTGCATGGATGGCTCAGCACCAGAATAGCTCAAGGAACTGATTAATAAACATGTGTCTTTGAAGAGCCTGCGGTCTTCAACACAGGACTTACTGAGTGTGCCTAGTGTGGATGAACACAGAAAAAAGTCTTATTGAGCTCTTTTCAAGCGATAGCACCAAAATTATGGAACAGTTTGCCTCAATCTTTGAGGAGAATTGTAAATGATAAAAAATAATTTAAGAAACAATTAAAAACACGTTTGTTTAAATAGATTTCAGAGGACCAGAGCGCGGTGAGCATGCTAGAGTGGCATGGATACCAGCGCGACATAAATATTAAATCAATCAATCAATCTGATCAAGAATAGACAATCGTGTCTAGAGTAGAAGAATAAGAATAGTTTGTCAATAATGTTTTACCTTGGTTCAGAACTACTAAACTCTCAGAACTATTTTCAAAGCTCTTTGACTTGTTTGCCATTTTGACAAGCTCATCTAAAAATGAGGTCACAACTCTCCACTCTTTTGATGCCTTTAAAAAAAACAAAAGAAAAAAAAATAGTCATCTGCTTAATTCAATTTTTAAAAAAAAATGTTAATGTTATTTTTAAATAAAAATAAAATTTAATATAAATATGAAATCAAAATTTGATTACTAGTTAAAACCTTGAGGTCAAATGCATAATTAACATTCTGGAGTACATCTTTACTGACAAAAATATCTTGGCCCAAATGTCCAACCAAGATTTTACTGAGCTATGATGCACACCCATTCTTGAGATCAAGTGCCATCATTTAATTAAATAGTTTATTCAAATAAAGAACCCGAGAATGTTTGAAGAAATTGTAGATGAGAATGTCATCAAATTCGAGGCCTTTAGATTCGTAGATGGTTAAAACAATTCCGTCCCTCAGCTCTGGGGGTAGTTTATTTTTTGCTTCATCATCAACAACTAAAATGGCCTGGTGGGCTCCAAACTCAATAGATGTTGTGTCCCTTGTGTTGCCTTTCAAAAGGAGAGCTAAGTCCTCTGTACATGAGTAAACAAGCCATGTTGGAAATGTCAACAATAACAATTCACACCAATGATATAATAATTTAAACCACTAAACATTAACAATGAACTTAAATTTCATTGATAGCATTTTTGGAATATTTTTAAGATGAAATTTCTTTTCTTTTTATTAATAGAATAGTTATTATTCCTTATATTTACTTCCTGTACAACTTTTTTTTTTTTAACATAAGAGCCTTAGAAGCGATAGCTGGATATAGAAGTGTGTGTGTGGGCAGGTTGTGTGTGGGGATGTCTGTGTGGAGTGGCGGGGGCTAGGGCAAGGTTTGCTATCCCTGGTTTTACAGTCTTATTAATGCCATGGTTTGTTATCTATATCCTAACCTGGTTTACAAGTCTCAATAATGACTGGCCTTGGTCCATCAAACATTCCCTGGTCTTTTTCAAGTTTATCAATGGTTTCAGGAAATAGATCAAGAATGATGTCAAGAACAGCAGAGGCAAGGGCAAGAATTCCTGTGTGAGATCGATAGTTGTGTCGCAGCTGTCGAATTTTGTCAGGCTTCTGAGGGTGAGACAAAGACAAAAAAAGTGTAACTTTCACCATGAATTATTACTTAAAGTTTAAATTGTGTTACCATCCAATTCTTTGTTTGTTTTCAAACAACTTTATCAAAAGTATATTTTGTCTGCATTGTTATTTTCTTTCTTTGAATTTTAATTAGCAACTAAATGTATTTAGAAAAAAAAGTTACCTGGTAAATTACAATCTTGACTAACCACCCACCACCTAATTTTAAAAAAATTATTATTTGGCCAATTTCATTTTGTAAACTTAGACTTATAATGGAATTTGATATTTTTTTCTTGCGGCAAAACCTAAATAAGTGAAAATTTAATATTAAAAATATATTTCCAAAGTCTTTACTAAAGGTGGACATGTGTTTATTAGGTAAACAGTTAGAGATGAAATAGCCATACACTGAGGAAACCAGAATTAAAATATTACTTGGCAGTCCCTGTCATAGTATTCACAATGTAACAAAAAAAGATGAAGACCAAGGAACACATGGATTAATTAAGAGAAATGGCAAAAAGGGAAATGGGTTGGAAGGAATAGCTCAGAAAAGAGATAAATGGGAAGAATTTTTGAATTAACTAGGAGAAAGCAAAAGTGAAAGAAGACTGAAAATTCTACACTAACTTTAACTTGTGTTTGTCCAACTAGTGTCTGGTGAGTCCTATGGAAAAATATGGACTTCAAGTCAGCAAACCTAAATGATATTCCTCTCATGATGCTCTGGGCAGTGTCCCCAGCAAGGAACATCTGGTTGGGGAAACGACATAATGACACCAGAAGGGCCAGCTCTGCTTGGGAAAAGTCCTGGGTTTCATCGATGTAAATGTTGTGGGGACTCCAATAGATGTTCCCTGGCTGTGATGTCATAACAACAAAATAGGGAATTACTGGCAATGAAAATTATAACTTGTGCCTCTTAGTAAAAATACTTGGATACATGGAATTAAGTCGAAAAAAACACATACAATATGTCTAAAATGTCTCTGTCTTACTTTGTTTGTTGTTAGAAACATATGTTCAAAGGTTGTCTGTTTTTACAGCTAATCCTTTATATTGTCAATTCTAAATTACTACATATAAAATACAATGGAGCCTGTTAATGTATCTCTCTTGTTGTACTTATTACGAAATCATGTAATAATTTATGATTGTATATCTTAATAATATATTTCCAAGCATCTTAACTGATTAACTACCAGATTGACAAAACCCGCTGTGGCCGAATTAAATAAGTTAACATTTTTTTCATTTTAGGTGTATGTACAATTTCAGCTGCAGTTTTCTTAACTATAAACATATTCTAATGATTAATGCACCATTTTGTTGGAAATTGAATTTGCTATAATATAAGCTGAAGACATTTGTAAAGTTAAGTTTTGTTAGGAAATTATTATTTTTTTTTTCTATTTCCAATAGAAAAACAATAACAAATATATTGATGTTCAACTCACGTACACATTCAAAATCATTTAAAGCCTTTTATTTTGTGGTTTTGTAGTATATCCCATAATAAGAAAAATGAACCAAAGAAGACAGAAATTGAATAATATTTACACTTCCAATCACATATGCCTTAGTAACCCCGTCACTTGTTGCCGCGGTAAACATGTACTATTTTGTAACTAGTTGGAAAAATTAATTAAAACTAATTATTATTTCGTTTTTAAAACATTCTGCTGATAGCATGTGTTTTGAATATAAACATCCAGTCGGTAAATGAAAATCTCGAAGCGAAACGGGAATGGAATAATATATATATTTGACTCGATTTACTACAATAGTAACATTGGCGCTACCAGCGGCTAGTGGCCATAGCGGAACGAACGCCGAGCCGCTCTTAGTTAACCGCTGGTAGTTAACCAGTTAATAAAAGCGATTGATTTATTTGGGTTCTGAAAAAAAGATCTAAAACAATTTCAGACATGTCAGTTTGCAGAAACTTAGAAAAGTACCATATATAGTGGCCTATAGGTTGCACCAGTGGATAGCTGTCACCCTAAGTTTGAGGAGTTACATGGCCCCTTTTTAACATAATTTATAGACTCTATAAATAATATTGTTAAACATAAATATTTTCCATAACAACGTAAAAACTGAAAAGAAATTGTCATAAACTATGTGATCTTTAATTAAAATTACAAAAATGGATTGTTCTCTGCTTCACCTAAGCAAGAGCAAGGGAGAAAATGATTTTCTGACTTTTTGTATAAATGACTACATCACCCTTAATAAAAGTAAGGGAAATTCATGTCAAGAGGATAGGTAAACCACCACCCCAACCCCCAACCCCACTCCATTAAAAAAAATTTGGGTAAAAAGTGTGACACATCCGCAATTACATGTGAGGAATCTATATTCCTATTAATTGCAGAACCTCCTAAATTAATTGAAATAATATATGAAAATAATGTCAGATCAATACTTACAGTCTCCTTGAGTCTTTTATAGATATGAAAAATGACATCAGCCTCATCAAATAAATGTTTCTGTTTTGAGTACTTTTGATAGCGTTGAAATATTTCATAAATGTGAGGCCTGTCGCTATCAAAGTTTGGGGCTCTTTTCCTTCCAATAGAAATGTAGTGGTCCATGTCGAGGTAACCTTCGGAACATTCCAGGGCTTCATAGGATCCTTTTATAAAGGACAAAATTTCTGTCCAAACCAATGATGGATGGAAGTTGCTCTGGTAAAACATAAGGGTATTAAATATTTATCTATTTGGTTTATTGTATTTAAGAGTATCATGTGTGATGTATATTATATTGAATAGCAAAGCTTGTTCTAAATAATGGGATAAAAAAATAATACATTTTATTTGAAAAATGTACATTTCCCCATTTCAAAAGCACATCTTTTCTACAAAAATATATTTTTTTAAAATATGGAGCAAACAAATTTAATTCTGGACAACCTTCAGTTAAAACTAACTTCCAATATAAAAATCATTCCTTCCTGTAACTGTGTTATGTGTACAGTATTGATCTAGATATTATGTGTATGGTATATTTATATTTTTAGACTTATGTTCTTTCTTTCAATAACATTTTAGTCTCCTACCTCTTTCTTTATCTTAGGCCAAATCTCATGAGCAAAAACTTCATAAGTACTCTCCCTTCTTGGATCTGCTTGTCTATCTGCTCTTCCTGCTGTAATTAATTTTTAGTTAAACACAAAAATTGTTTTGCTGGTACAGAGATATTATTTGTATTTTCATTTCAAGTAATTTTTCTAAAATTTAGTCTTTAAAAATACAAAGAAATACTTAAGTATTTTTATTTAAAAATTCAGAGATTTAAATTACAGGTTTGAATTATGAATCGTGTGTGAACCATGACAGAACCAGCTGTTTTTTTGCATGTGTGAGTGCTGTAATTGTGTTATTATTGATTAAAATGGTGATTATGTATAATCAATCACTGACCAAGTTGGAATCGTCTTGAATGCATTCTATGCAATGGCTGGCAAATGTTGAAAATATCTTCCTGGGGCTCCCAGCCAGGTATGTACAGTTTCATCCCAAGGTCTTCATCCCGAGAGAAAAATGCTTGACCGTCGACAGAAGCATCAAGGATAAGTAAAAAATGTCTGGATGTCAGAAACAGGGGGAAGGAGTTATCTTCCATGTCCTATGAATGGGGAAAAAACAGCTATTTAAATAATGTGTGATTATTTAGCATCAGGTCTCTACTGGAGTCTTGATGGCATGCAGCATTTAAAAAAAATAAAAACCCAGTGCTATTTATTAGTAAAATAAATTGGTTCTTTATTTAATATTAACTGAGGGGTTAAGAACTCGGTGTAGTACACCCCTTGTATAATTTAGGACTGCATCACACACTGCTTAAGCACTATTTTAACTTGAATTTTAACTTGTTTACATTTGTTTTATTAGTTACATGTACAAGAATTTTTTGGGGACTTTTTAAAAATCGAAAATTTCTTGGCTTTAATCATTGAAGATCTAGCTACAGGTGGTTATGTATCACCTAAAGACATTAGGTTTATGAAACAAAAATATTTAGTATTTGGTGACATTTAGCTCTTACTTACACAAGTGTACACTAACTCACATGAACTAACACTAGTCTATCTACAAAAATACCTTGAAATACCATGAATTCCTTAAATGTGTAACTGTTCAAAAAAGATGTAGAAAATAAAAATAATTCTCTTCGCTATGTCAATAAATTTTGACACACACACTCAATACCATTTAATTTTATACTTACGCAATCAGTAACATTTCTTTGAATCTCTATTTAAATAAAATTATTGAAAACTGTGAGAGGTTTGATTAATCATATTTTGTTATGATCTCCTAAAACTTTGTATTAAGACAATTATTCAAAATCTTTATATCAAGACAATTCACAATTCAAAAGTATTGTTTATTAAAACTTTATTTGTGCCATTTTTTTCTATATTTTTTCTATAATCCCTGAGTTCAATCACAAAAAAGACAAAGGGCTGATCCATCTGCCCAATAATACAAATCTTGAGATTGGCTGGCTGGTCTTTGTGACAGCTAGTCAGATTAGTTATCGCATTTCTTGCTCATCTCAGTATTTTAATGGCATTTTCCATTGCTAAATTACAATGCTTTTTCATTCTATGTCAATGTCTTTTGTACCTAGTGCCCTATAAATGCTTAGGGTGGTGGGCTCGCCGAGTGGTCTAAATTGAGTCAATCCCAAGTTAGTGGACTCCTACAAGAATATATAACGCTTTATATTTATAAAGTACCGGGTAATTACTTTATTTTTTTATACATTTTTTACCCCAATAATGATTGGGCTTGTGAAAAGGGCTACATCTTCTTGGCACCAAAAGTTAAAAAAAGCTCTGTCTCAAGAGGGTACAGTTCAATTTAAATGGCTTACAAATAAAGAAATTCTTTTCATAATCAATCATCTTTAAATTTCACGATATGATCATGTTCTTAGTAGTGCAGAGCCCACGGGAGTCTGAATTATATCAAATAAATAACTTGCCTGCAGTCGATTTGGAATGTCATCTGCTCGCTGAACCACTTGATCACACAGCCATTTAGGAGTCTGGCAAAGTTTAACAAAGCTTTTCTTCACTTCCTGGCACAAAACTGGGTTTTTAGTAAAAAAAAAATGAAAAAAAAGATAAAAAAAAAAAAAAAAAAAAAAGGTGCTGGATACAATTATTTTGCATTTGTTCTTTAATTACTATAATCTGTCACTGGCATCATTCTATACATGGCCTAATTTTTACTGGCATCAATTTATATACATGGCCTAATTTCACTGGCATCATTCTATACATGGCCTAATTTTTACTGGCATCAATTTATATACATGGCCTAATTTCTAATGGCATCATTCTATACATGGCCTAATTTCACTGGCATCATTCTATACATGGCCTAATTTCTAATGGCATCATTCTATACATGGCCTAATTTTACATGCATCATTCTATACATGGCCTAATTTCTACTGGCATCAATTTATATACATGGCCTAATTTTACTGGCATCATTCTATACATGGCCCAATTTTTACTGGCATTATTCTATACATGGCCTAATTTTACTGGCGTTACTCTATACATGGTCTAATTTTTACTGGCATCATTCTATACATGGCCTAATTTTTACTGGCATCATTCTATACATTTTTTCCAGTTTATTAATTCTGAGTACATTAAGAATTTCAATATTTTCAGGTCTATATCCTAGTAGAGTTGGTGCAGTGGCCACAATTGAGCCTCACCTACAACATGATCCCTCACAAATAGCTCATAAAACTGATCTGTTATTGCTCTTTATGACCTAACAAAGGCAAATATTTCATTAAAAAAAATTTAGTTCTGTTTTGTCTCTCCCTAACCTTATAACTACCTCTGGATTTAATAAGTCAATGCTTCTCATAAGATTCAAAACCAACCCCTCAACTTATGGCTTCATGTCATAATGAGATGCTCAGAATAGGGTTAAATGTTTGATTCCTTACCTGATGCAGATGTTCCCAATTGTTATCACTTTCATCATGTGTGTCTTCACTATTTTGACCCTCATTTACATCACTTTCTTGGATTGGAACATCTGGACCATCATTGTTGGCTTCATCAGTAACTGGTAAAATAATTCAGCAACTTACAACCATAAAACTTACAGTGTGAATCTATCTACATATTATGTGAGTTGGTATAAAGTCTTGACCGATCCATGAAGAAAAAATATTGCTTTATAAAAGTTTCAAACAATAATTTTTTCTGATTCCACAAATTATGAGTTGTTTATAAGAATAACATTTGATTGGTTAAAAACTTCTGTCTGAACCAACAATACACTGTTGTTTGAATATTAAATAGATATCATCATTTGAATTTCAAACAAACTGTGACCCACTGAAAGAGTTAATAATCAGAAAACTTACTCTTGAGACATTCAATATGAGGTCTCCCTAAATCATTGGCCAGCTCCCAATAATTTAAAAACTCATTGAACAAGCGATAGAGACAACAGGTGGTTTTCCCTGTCCCACTACGGCCTAAAAGTAGCAGAGGAGCTTCAAGTTTTAAATGAATTAATGTGTGTTCGATTTCAGTCACTCTGAATGGAAAGTCAGCCTGAAAACAGACAGTCAATATGATTTGGTATTTCTGGCATTCTGAATAGAAAGTAATTGTAAAGTAGGACACTAGATAAGATTTGATGTATATTTAATTCTGAAATTAATCGATAAGACACCTTTGATTCCCTATCATTTAGAACAACCTCCACCATCTGGGATGATAAGGTGTACAGTTTCAGGATGGTGAACTCATTGTCATGTAAACTGGCAGGTGGAGTAAGTTGGATGACCTGACCTCGCTGCACTTCATCAAGTTCCTGTAGGTCGGAGCATTCACTGAAAAGTTTTGGAAGGAGTCTCTCACTCTTCTGTAATTTGACTGGTTTCTGGCTAAATAGATATTTCTGAGGGGAGAAGTCAAACAAGTAATCAAATAACAGTATAGTAAGGTAATCAAAGTTCATCCTCTTGTGGGGTTGAGCCTAAGCTCTGATATGACTCTGGCCAACAAGCCACATGAGAACCACATCTGTTGGGATTTGTCAAAAATTAATCAATGCAGGTTTCAGAAGGACCCTCTCCTCTGCCACTCCCCTGTGTGGGAGCTCAGCCAGCATATGATTTACTATTTCGGGTGCAAGGCCACGGAGGTGCCAGTTTAACCTATATAGTATACTAAAGTTCTTGGTTATATTTAATTTAAGCATGGCCAGCCCGTGAGTGTTAAGAATAGATTTTTTTTTTAACTTGTGGAATAATTGTCCTGAAATACAAATGTAAATCCTAGTAGTGTAGTGCAAGTACATGGCAAGGTATTAGTAACAAGCAGAGGAGCTTCCCTCATTCCACAATATTTCAGTTAGGTATCTATGTCCAATGATTGGATGGGGAGGGAATGACAACCCATCAATGCCCTTTTAAGTCACAATCAAACCATGTCCCCTGTCTGGTCCCCACCTTAACAACACCTATGGGTGTTACCTACCTTGACAACACAATCTTTCCCCCGTTGATGTGACTTGACAACTTTGGAAACTGCTGATTGCAAGTCAGATTTCTTCAGCCCTATCTCCCACAAGCGAACATGCTCGGCGTAGACTCTTCCTTCTCTAATGGCCGACTCCTGGCTATCATGTGACCCACTTGTTTCCTGCAGGTTGCTGAGACGGGGTGAAAAGGCGATGGCCCTCTCCCATAAAATAAAGGCCCCAGACGTTAAAAACACACAGTACAGTCTTAGTGTCTCTGGAACTTTTTTCACAGGCCTCTGGTTGATAGGAATAAAAAAACATTTAACTCATCTTAGTTCATGAGATTCTTAGAAAAAAGAAAAATCCATAATCCAAACTGTCATCTTTTTAAATTTTCATGTTTCAAATTTCTACTCCTTTTTCACTTTAAGCACGTATCTACAATCAGTAAAAGTGACACATATGTTCTTAATTAAACCAAAAAGGGCACAATTATGGCGTTTTTAAAAATAAAATTCTGATTTCCCCAGAATAGTCAATAAGAAAAGTAAATAAAAATCAAATGAATTTTATTTTTCAGTGATGGAAATTGGTTTACATCATTAAACTCTAACACACATATACACCTTCATCCATATACCCATTACACCTCTACATCCATATACTCCTACATTCATACACCCATACAAACCTACATTCATATACCCTAAGACCCTACATTCATTTACACTTACAACCTTTTATCCATATAACCTCACATCCTACATTTATATACCCTTAAATACATGTATTTATATACTCTTTCACCCTACATTCATAAATCCTCACATCCCTACATTCATATACCCTTATATACATACATTTATATGGCCTCACACCCTACATTCATATTTTCTTTCATCCCTACAGCCATATAACAATACATTACAAACCTCATATGTTTCAGATAGAAATTGAATTTGTGAGAAAGAATTGGCATATAATTGGAAGCAAGAGGTTTAAAAAAAAATAACAAGATATTCTTCAAGGACTGCCTACCTCCTACAAAAACTGACCAACCTCCTACAAGAACTGACCTACCTCATACATGACCTGACCTACCTCATACATGACCTGACCTACCTCCTACATGAACTGACCTGTTTCAAATTCTTCCAATCTCCTGAACCCAGCTGTTTCAACTTCATCAACACCATGTTTCTCAAGGACAATTTCTGTGGACCAATATCAACAGTGGCCTGCCTTTTGCTGATTAATGTCCTCCAGACTGACTCTAAAACAAAGAGTATGGCATAGTAATGCTTTTGCTGTTTGCAAGGTCAGATTGGTTGTCAATTAAAACACCCTTTAAAAGCACATAAATTATTTTTGTTCTGTGGAGGCTTATTGCACCACCTCAATATGACATTAATGATTTTTTTAAAAAGCTATTTCAATTATTATATTTAAAAATTATTTTAAAAAAGACTATTTCTGCCTTTTTTTTAATTTAAACTAAAAAAAGTAGTGTTAACAGCTCACTTTTTTTAAGAGTAAAAAAAGTCGTTACATTTTCAAATTAACAGTTAATTAATTATTCCACTCATCCATTTACCCTTATAGTCAATATCCCACTGATTTACCAGCACATTCAATATCCCTTTGATTTACCTAAATATTCAGTATCCTACTCATCCATTTACCTGCAAATTTAATAACTTACTCATCCATTTATACATTTTATCCCACTCATCCATTTAACTGTGCTTTCAGTATCCCATGCATCCATTTACCTGTACATTCAATATCCTATTGATCCATTACCTGTATATTTAATATCCCACTCATCCATTTACCTGTGTATTCAATATCCCACTCTAAACTATCAAATTCTTTTGGGTCCATCTCCATCTGGTCATTTGTTGAAAGTTCATCACTATAAGCCTGGGTAAGTTCCCTTTGTGTAACTCCATCTTTATCAATGAATGATGATATAAATTTTTAAAAATTCTATTCTACTTTGTATTTAGTTAAAATTGAGCTGAGAAAAATAAGTCTTGTTACATCTTCAACATAAAATTACTAAAGAAACAGACAAAAATAATTTTGTTTGTTTGTTTCCCCATACCAATGATGACCTCAAACATGATACCAACTTACACATAGATCAATATTTTACATACTGTAGTCATGTCTCTTTACTGACACAGAACAATATTTTCCATACTCTAGTCATTTCTCTTTACTGTCAGAGCAATATTTTCCATACTGTAGTCATGTCTCTTAACTGTCATTGAACAATATTTTACATAATGTAATCATGTCTCTTTACTGTCATAGAACAATATTTTACATACTCAAGTCATGTCTCTTTACTGTCACCGCACATTATTTTATATATTTTAGTCTTGTCACTTTACTGTTACAGAACAATATTTTACATACTGATGTCAGAATTCCCCAATTCGATATCAGGAGAGTTTATTTCTTCCTTTTCATCATCATCAGAATCCAGCAAGCCTGGTTGATCAAATTTAATTTCTACATGTGTTGGGTTCAGAAAAACTTCGTCATCAGGTATTTTAGATAGATATGATAGAATGTGTTTTTTCCTCAGAATCTTAAAGAAATAAAAAGAAATAATTTTTTTTAAATATTTTAAAAATTAACTGATTAAAAATAGGCTAAAATATTTGAAATATTTGCCAAATCTCTGGGATATAAGAAATGTATGAGCAAATATGTGCAGGAAAAAAAGGGGGGGAGGGGGATGTTCAAATATTTTTTTTAAAGTCTACCACTTTTGTCTTTTTCATATATTGCTTTATAGATATATTTCACTTATATTAGTTTTATCCCACAATTGTGAATCTTAAGACCGATATGGCAAGAAAATTGAAATAAATTGTAAAGTAGCATCAAGACAGCTTTTCTTCCCTCACTTATTTTAATATCTTTTTTTTTGGGTGGGAGGAGGGCGTGAAAACATTTTAGGTGATCTGGGTGTGCATAGGGTAAAATGCTTGGTAAGCACCGTAGTAAACATGTTAAAATTTAAGTTGTGGGTCCCCACACTCTTTTTTGCCACCAGAGCAGCTGTTTCTGATTACTTCACACGGAGCATGTAAATTACAAAAAAAAGGGGGGGGGGGGGGGGGTTGTGGTAGCCACCTGCTTATAGTGGAGAACATCCTTTATGGACAACCCTTTAAACTAATTTGTAACTTTTACATTTATACATTATTCTCACACATACCTCTTCCTCTGAAGGCTTTGATTCTGTGTTAGCCTTTGGTGTAGCTTCCTCAATACCTTAAGGGAAAATAATAATTATCTTTTTCAGTGGACATAATGTGAGGTTAAAGTTTGCTTAATATTTGTTTACGTTTTAAGTAGCATTTTATCCTGTAATTTTTTAAGGTAAATTATTCAATACAAATACTAATAAATGTAAACCCCAAGGCTAAATGGCTGCTCTAATTTTTCACTAAACCACGGACTATTTATATCTGTATATCTGAAAAAGTTCCCTGCTAATTACACTTTTTAGACTGTCCACATAAGATTTTATAGTGTTCTCATAAAGATTTTAGTGTGCTTAAAGAATTTAGAATGTCTAAAGATTTTATAATGCCCTCATAAAGATTTTATAGTGTCCTCACAGATTTTAGACTGTCAAAAGATTTTAGATTGTTAACATAAAGTTTTAGATTGTCCTCAAAAAGGTTTTAGTATGTCCTCCTCTCTTACAGGTTTTTGACTGTCCTCATAAAGATTTAAGGCTGTCTTCTAACAGGTTTTAGATTAAAATGAGAATACACAAGTAAATTACAAAGAGACTAAACAACTAGACTAAAATGAAAATAAATAACTAGACACAAATCAGATGACACAAACTGAACTAAAAACCTTCGTTTGATTCAGATTTCTCTTTACAATTAGGACTAGTAGAAACTTGAACGTATTGATGTCTTCCATCTTCCCAGTCTGGTAGATAATCAACAGCCATTTCATTCTCTTTGTTTTTAATGTCAGTAGGTATTTGCCATTTTGAAAGAAGCTGCACTGCTTTCAGACTATGTAAATTAGATTTTGCCTTAGGATACACAAAATTAAGGATTCATATTTTCAATAGAAAAAATGCACATATTTCAATTTTTTTTTTATTTGAATCATAATTATGAATATCTTGTAAAACTTTGCTATTTGGTAAGGAAGGAGATGAACAAATGCTACAATTATAGTCAAAACTTTCCCTTCCCACCAGTGAGTGCATGCATAATTTTGAGGAAGGTTCTATAAAG